TGCAGAACTACTTCCAGAGAACTTGGGAAGTCTAAGGGAGCTCAGTAGAATCATTCATTCAGGAAGAACTTGGGGGTTGAGATGAAACTTTGGTGGGTGGAATGAACGCCCAGGGCCCAGGTGTCTCTCTCCAGAGGCCAATTATGGTGGTTAACTCTCACCAGGGAGTACCTGACAACTGCTGAGTCATCGTGTGAGAGTTTGCAGACAACAGTGCGATTTACTATGTCACAATTCTGTGACCAGTTGTCCTCCCCTGCCCATGTCTCCCATCTTCATCTTCAAAGCCCGGTCTTAGGCTGCTTTCTTCTCAGGGCTCCATTTCTCCAATTTCCGCTTCCTTCATCACAACTTCCTGTTCCATTATCAAGGACCCATGATTTAGCTGATGAGAAAACTTAAATCCATCTGCAAGTTCTGTTCTGGTTAGCCACAGAACAACCTGCTCACAGGTTCTGGGGATGCGCATGTGGTATCTCAGGGAGGCTGTTACATTCTGCCCGCAGCACCATCCTTTCATTTGCTCAGTACATTTGAGTACTGCTTTCCTCCAGTAGACTTCATTCCTGCTTCTGCTCTTGATCCATGCTGTTCCACACAGTTGTCGTCCTATGCTGAGGGAATGTGATGGGTCCCAGTCACCGTCATTATCATTGTTTATACAAAACTTTTCTTTCTAGCTTTTCACAGCTATCTACTCAGCAGCTGGCTTCTTGGAGGGCTGATGCAAGTTCTTGCAATTCCTTGCGGGCTGAGGCCAAGGTCACCTATTAGAATATTGCCAGCCACATGCCACAAAGCTCCAAGGGCTCCTGCTTCATCCAGGAGTCAGTGGGGAAATTTCCTGCAGAAAGATGGCTGTAGGCATTGTAGGAATGTTGATGGTTGTCCAGCACAAGTTCCACTCCAAGGGTGTAAACACACAAGTATTGGAGGAAGGATTGTTAAAGTTTACATGGTTAAGATTTAGTAGGCAGAAATTTGACTGTGATTCTCTGTAGGGAACTTAACTTGCTTAGATGCTGCCTTTTTGTTTCCCATGGGCGGGGAAATTAATCTTACTCCTGGAAGGTTAGTGTCTTCCAGGTCGAAACCTTTTGCAGTCAATGACACACTTAGTAGATTCCAAGTTCTAGCTTCCTTTCAGGTCTCTTACATTCCTGACTTTGCTCCTTGGTGTTTCATATGAGGGGAAACAAGAGTTCAGGTGGATTTGCTTCTTCGGTTCTCTTGACACTGACCTTGAGCCTGCTTGCTCCCTGGACGGCACTTGGTACTGGTACTGTCCCAGGCTGCCTTGGGTTCCTCAGCTCCAGGTCCTGTGGATCACTGACGACCACAACTTTTCTTTTCCTTTCACCCTTCGGCCTCCGTATTGGAACCCCTTGGTCCTGCCCTCAGGCTGATTCCTACCAGATGCGCTCATCTTTACAGTACCCATGTCAGTTTGTCTAAGGCCTGTTCCCGTGTCCCTGCCTCCAGCTGCGCCCCAAGACAGCCTGGGGCACAGTGGCCTTGCACTCTTTGCCTGATGAAGCCCACTTACCTTCCGTCTCCTGCTGCTTAGAGCAGTGGTTTGTTCTTTTACAATGAAGGGGACCCTGCCTTGGTAACCTAGTAGGGTAGTCAACATGGATTTGTCTTTATTGAATTGGACAAGTAGTATAATATATGTGGAACCCTAACGGTGGTAAACAGTAGTTGCCTAAAACTAGTCACTGATGAAAAGCTGGTAGGGTCCCAAACCTTGCAGGCGTATGCACTTCCCAGTCCATATCTTTGGGGCTATTACTTCATGAAGGAATTTCATGGCATAATGATATATAGTCTAATTTCTAAAATGTTTCTTTAGGAATTTTGTTAGGCAGTTTACCAGTGAGTGGTGTCCCTTTCCATGTAGTACATTTGAGTCTAGTTTTTAAGTGTGTTATTTTGAAAATTGTCTGGAACCGTGGACTTAATTTAGTTTAGAGATTTGAAAGAAGTTTCCATGAGGAAGATAACATAACAGCACCTGCTGTGCGTGAGGACACTGGAGCTTTGTGTTTGAGTGTGGCAGTCACAGAACACTGAAGCCAGTGGTGCGTCTCAGAAAGATGCCCGGGTGACAGTCACTCCTGTGGAGATGGTGGGTGTCCAGCGGGCAGGAGGAGGACCTGAAGGGTAGAGTAGCTGAGGCAGTTTAGTTAGGGTACTGTGCCCGTCAGAAGGGGAATGCCCCATCTTGGGTTCTCGCTCTGCACTGCATCTCTCTAGGAGAAGATGGGGCCAGCAGCACACAGCCGGTGAAATGTGGACGTGATTTTAATGAAGCCCTGTCTGGAGCTAAAATCTCATCACTTTCAACGTATGGTTTTCTTCAGGAAAGACACTGGATCAAATGATGCGGTGGAGAATCAGAAAAGGGGAAATAATATTAAGAGGGAGAAAAGATACTTTAGGCTACATTTTAAATATTAATGTATTAGCAGTAAATATTATAGAAATGTGGCTTATTTTAGTGATAAAAGAAATATATTTATGATTACAGTGCATCATGAAATCTTAAAAATATATGTGAAACTTCTCAAAATTGTTCACTAAGCTTACAATGTCAATTCATTTCTATTTCCAAGAAAATATTCCAATTGTGGTTTTATATATAAGATAGCTGACTTTGTCTATTTAAAATTTGCGAGTTTGATCCTGTTTTCATCTCTTGTGTTAGTCACCTTACCACAACTATGATAAAATACTCCAGGTAATCCCCCCATAAAGAGAAAAGATGTATTTTTGCTTATGGTTTGGAGGGCCCAATCCATGATCAATAGTGCTGAACCTTTGGGGTTTGGTAAGGCAGCCATCACATACGGCGGAGCAGAATGAGGAAGAGGAGGGGGCTAGGACCCAACAGTCATCTTCAAGGGGGTGCCCCGGTGACCCGAGGACTTCGTGTTAGACCCCACTGCTCCGTCCTACCCCTCTGCATTGTGTCACCCAGGGACTGAGCTACTTACACCCGGCCCTTGGGAGGCCACTCAGGATTCAAACCATACTATTTCTTAAGTATTTAAGATTATTCCAAGGCCGGGGATTTAGCCCAGTGGTTCCAGCGCCTGACTCGCAAGCGCAAGGTCCCGAGTTCGATGCCTGGTACCAAAAAAGAAAAAAAAAAAGATTGTTCTGGAGGAGAAATGGAGATGCTACTCTTTATATATTTCAGAGACTATCTATATATACTTGCAAATTATTTTACAATCCATTAATTCCTAAACCATCGAGTCTGACACGTGTGACTTTCTACATGATGCCCTATACTATGCAATATGAAGTACACATTTACATCTGAATCCATCCCCATAAATTCAAAGGCATATTGTTCTCCCTGTACCACAGGGAGGCAGTTAGACTTTGTAGAGAACAACAGGGACGCCAGAAGATATTAGTGGGACAAAGCACAACTACATCTCACACCAATTAGCTCTATTGGTTTTTCTTCAGAGAACTAAATATCCTGGATCAATTAAAGTGATGTTGAGGTTTATCTGTTTGTAACCCAAATCAATTCATCCATTGAGGAATTCATGTTTCTGAATCTCATCTTAGGTAGAAATGAAGGAAGGGCCTTGTGCTGATGGAGCTTTTCCCTCATGCATAGCCCTGGTGTCTAGGAAGGGCTCAGAGTCTGCCCTTTGAGAGGAACATCAGCAGTTCCAGGCTATGGAGGGATTCTGGATGACTCCAATAGGGAGTTTTGTTTTTTTAAGTCAGTGCTGGGGATCAAACCCGGGTCTTGCACATGGTAGGCAAGTGCTCTACCAACTGAGCTATGCCCCCAGCCCTGAAATACAGAATTTTCCTATCACTAAATTCATGAGTCGTGAATGATTAGAAGGAAAACGTACAAGGGCAAAGCTCTAATGAGTATGGCCCAAACCTAAGAGTTTCAATCAATCTTAGAAATAAAGCACAATTTAAATATTTTTGATAGTAAATTATCTATTAATCCCTTAAAGTAAAAAGCTACAGGCGCACAGAAAATTACTGCACTCTGTTAGATAAATGTTGGCATGAGCATTTGTGTCTGCTTGAGGCCTGTCTGGAGGCCGCATCTGCCCGTAGCTGTGCCCCGCTGTGGCACCTGTCCTAGTGGAGTGGGAGCTGGAGTTTTGCCCAAGCTACGCAGGGTTGAGCTGTTGTGCTGATTCACTTCCCCTCCGACGGTGGACCTGCCAGGCCCTGGCTTGCAGGGTGGCTCAGTCATGCATGTGCGCCCCATCTGTGCAGTGCAGAAGGGATTTCCTTCTCTGCTCAGCCCTGCAGCTCTGCAGCCCTGCAGCCTGGCCCTCCTGCTCGTCTGTCCTGCCCCTCTCTCTCTGCTGCTGGGGGCACACAGCCTTGAGGACCAGGTGCACCTTGTGCCTCTGTGGGAATCCCTCCTTTACTCACGGGCCTGAGCCAGCAACAAGGGCCACCTTGCATAATTTTACTGTAGTTTGATTCATTGACTTTGAACAAAGACAACATTTAATTTGATAAAAAATAAATATACCCTCACAGTTCTAACCAAACTTCCACGTGGACAGGAGCAGTTTTCAGTCTTCTGGGTGGGGATTTTCTCTGAAGCCCTGATTCCCCAGGGGCCTGGTCTCCAGGCCTAGCAGCATCTCACTGCCACTCTGGCCTCCCTCTGCCTGCTTTTTTTTTTTGAAATGATGATTAAAGCCAAGTTTTGAAGTTGGGATGTGGTGCAGCCTCAGACCTCAAAATTGCACATTGGAACTGCACCGTGCAAGGTGTTTTATAACATACAACTATTTCAGCAAGCTGGTAGTCTTATAGCAAACATATTTACTTATACATGTTTCCCTGATATTGTCAAACTTCAAAAAAGATCAAAACAAAGAAAAAAAAAGAATGGGCCTTTTCAATCTGTTCTTCATCGTTGTAAATATATTACAGCGGGAGTCTGTGAGCCCAGTAAGGGATGTGTGTTCTCATTTTCTTTTCCTTTCACGCAGATTTATGAGAAATACCAAGACTTGTATACTGTGGAGCCAAATAATGCCCGCCAGCTGGTGGAGATTGCAGCCAGGGATATTGAGAAGCTCCTGAGCAACAGATCGAAAGCCCTGGAGGTGAGCTTAAATTGGATCTGCTCCTCCTGTTTATCCCTGCTTCCCTGGTATTTATTGTTCGTGCTTTTGGGGGAGGTTGTGTTTGGTATGCTTTCTTTTCCTTGGCAACTGTGTCTATCTAATGTGTTCATAAAAAAATGAGATATCATGGCCTTACTGGGAAACCAAAGTAATCAGATAGCTTTTCTCTAAATATTAGTTTCTTTGTATATTACTGTATTTTACGATACACATACTAATTGGGGTGCTCATATGTTTATACGCGTGTAAGTCATTGTGCAAAATGAATGAACGTGCTTAGTGTGTCATGCTGTGAAGCCACAAGCATTGCTGGTGCGTGTAAACCACAGCACTCTCCTACCTCACCCTCCGGCCTCCCTGCCGGAGGAGGCCACTGTGCTACATGATAATTAACAGCTTCTGTACCCAGCATACCTGCTTTGCTGAACAAGGTATTTATTTTGTCTATTTTTGAGCTTTCTTAACATCTTATCAAGCTGTGTGTAGTCAACTTGCCTTTTCCTCATAGACATTATGTTGGCCTGACTTCTCTGTGTGCATTTCACCCCAGTGCATTTTACAGCAATCCTCCTAGTCTACTGGGATGTGTCCCACCACTCCAGTGGCTTCCGGCAACCACAGACACCCACATCTATACAGGCTTCTCGTGGTGGCCCTGGACTACCGGTTCCAGGATCCCTCAGCCCATGGATGCTCAAGTCCCTTACGTGATGTGCAGGCGTGTTTCTGTGTAACCTACACATGTTCTCCTGTGTAGAGTGCCACCACCTCCAGGGTACACAGAACGCTGAATATACTAGAAGTGCTATGCAGGTGGTGGTTACACTGTGCTGCTTAGGCAATAGAGACAAGAAAAACGTATCTGTGCATGTTCAGGACAAATTCAGCTTGTTCCTTGTCATTGTCCATGCGGGACAGGTCGATTTTACTGATGCAGGACCCACGGATATGGAAGTCTGCATAAACCAGCGCTGTGTTTATTCCTTTACATACATGGTCATAAAGCTTAATGTGTAGATTCGGCAGCTAATAACAAAATAGACAGCGATCCTCAACACGTGGTCATAAAGCTGTGTGAACCTGGCCTCTCTCCCTCCGAGTGTCTGTCTGGACCATGCTCACCTATCTTGTGCTGATGAGGGAACAGATGAATGGGTGACGGGGAGGTCTTGTGATGCCACACGGGGCTGCTTGGTAAAGGGCACATGAGAAAGAGCCAGTGGTGCTATTGGCAGCCCCTGCATGGACCATGACAGCCACTGAAGGGGCCCTGTGACTCATGGGCAGGCAGTGAGCAGTGTGAGGGTGCACTGGACCAGGGCTCATTCCTGTCCTGGGCGAGATGCACAGAGATGTCATCATGTTATTCAGAAGAGCATGCGGATTAAAATGTATCAGTTAGTATTTCTGGAATGTTCCATGTAATGTTTTCTGACTGTGACAGAGCACAGGTACTGTAACCGAAAACAGCGAACAACAACTAAGAGGAGAATACTCTATTCAAAATTAAATATTATTTTATAAGGATATATTTCAATTCATTTATCTTCTGTTGGCAAATTAGTATTTGGATTTCTCCTAGATGAATATGAATAATGCTGCTAGATTTTCTTGAACAAATGTTCTGGTACACGTGTGCAAGAATATTTACAGGGTTAGGCTGGGAGTGGTGACACACACCTGTAATCCCAGCACTCTGAGGGGCTGAGTTAGGAGGATCTCTAATTCAAGTGTAGTGACTTAGCGCAGTGCTGTCTCAGAAAATTTAAAAAGGCTGGGGATAAGCTCAGTGTAAAGGCTCTTGGCTCAGTCCCCATCTACAGCATAGTGAAACTGCTAGAGTAGAGTGATGTCTCAGTGCCAGCTTTATAAAGGTATGACAGTTGTTTTCTGAAATAGTTGGATCCATTTAAACCTTTACTAGCAGTATGAGCCCCCACGAATCCATTCTCTGGACACATGTGAAAGCGAAGACTTCCTAGTCACAGGCAAACGAGGGGTGTGAGGTGGGGTTTTTATGCCTGCTGAGGAACACACCTGCTGGGTTTCCCTTCCCCATTCTCTCCTCTCCCATGAAGCATCTGCTCATGTCTTTAGCCCCATTTTCTTCTATCAGTTGATTTCCAGGGTATGTACACTTGGTGTTAATTTATTTTAGTCCTACATAATGGAAATATCTTTTTACATCTTGTGACTTATAATGTATTTTTGATAAATTCCTAATTTTAACGTAGTCAAAGTCAACTTTCCTTTTAATTACTTCTAGTGTTTTGCGGTGTTAGATATACGGAATCCTCCCCTACCTTGAGATAATACACATACTGTAAAATGTATTTTACTCTAAATGGATCTATCTTTCATATTTAAGTATTTAATCCACTTGCAACTGATATTAGTATGTAATTTTAGGCTGCAATTCAAATTAACTTTCCCAAGACCTTTGCCCCTTGAGCTCTGATTGTGACGCTAGATATCTGATAGGCCGTGCTCCTTACCATATTTTTATTCAGCAAGATCTTGAATATTATTGTAACTTTACTTTTCATCTTCATTATAAATTCAGCATTCCATTATCCAAAAAAATACCTACTGAGATTTTGATTGGTATATTGACTCAGGCCAAACTGGGAAGAACTGAATAATTTTCTGTTTTGTCTTTTTTATTTGTAAACAGGATAGTTTTTTCCACTTAGGCATTTTTCAGTCATTCAGTTCAATAAAGATTTAAACTTTCTTTACAGAGTTTTACACGTTTTGTTAGATTTAACCCTGAGCCCTACAGATTGGAGAACTGTCACAGATATTTGTCCCAAGGTCACCTTTTTTTTCTTGTCTACTTATCACTCATAGTTCACATTCTTAACTTGATATATTTTGGCTCTCAAAAAATTCCCATGAGTTTTTAGGCACTCCCAAAGATATTTATTATTATTCTTAAAGTACCCAGGATCTTACCAAAACATACTATTCTGACTTAAAAACTCAATTCATTCATAAAGGCTGGTTGTAAATCAATTTGGCTGTAAATCAAGTTGGCTGTAAGTCAAGACTATTTTTCTCATAAGAAATATTGGAAATACCTATAACGTGTTCTGAACCTCCCTAAGCACCCCTTAACTAATCTTTTCATAATAACAAGGTTGTATACTGTGCGTAATTTACCAGAAACACCAATAATTTTCCTATTGTATTCAGCAAAAAGTTATAAAATGTGCCTAGTTTACCAGAAACAACAATTTCAGACTGCATTCACCACTCCAGTTGACATCTTCGGCTTGCAGGACTGGAGGATGAAATGGAAGGTGGTTATTGTTTGGGAAGAGAGGCCCCTTCCATAAGAGCATCAGGAATCTGGCTCTCTGGTGTCCTTTCTCTCCTTGGGAGAGACTGTACCCGCTAGGACCTGCTCTGGATCACTAGGTCTCAACCTTCTCAGAACTAAAAACTGCTCTAAGGTCGTCTGTTTCTGTCTTTTCTGTAACCTCATTCTGTAGTATGACATGACATTGCCATTAAGCAAGTGAATGCAGTGATTGGCTTTTTCTCTGCCGGGGTGTCTTCTCTGCAAATGTTTGTAGCTCTGCCCATTTTTTCAGGATTTCCCTTATTTCAGAAGAACTTTACTGCACCGATTGTTGATGCTTTCCAGTCCTCTTCAGAAAGCTCCTCAGCTGCCGTTCTCTGCTGCTCAGCTGGACGCTGCTGAAGTTTCTCTGTAGACAGTTCCTCTGAGTGTTCCTCCACCAGTTCCTCAGCATCACTGTCTACCTGCCAGCCGTGGACTCTGCTACAGCGACAGTGTCACCAACTGCAGGCTCAGTTGAAGGCTCGGCTCCTCTACACAGCCTTCAGTCTTCTCCTGTATCATTTTAGGCCACACTTTCTCCCAGGCAGATCTCAGTGTCCTTAGACACTGGCCCAGGATTTCTCAGTTAACCCCACACTGGAAAGACTGGCATTTGGGTTGTAAGTCAAGATTTTGGTCATAAGTTAGAAAATTCTGGACATAACCCAAGTTGTTTGTAAGTGAGGCCAGTTGTAACTTGAGGGTCCACTGTAGAATTATCTGTTTGATGTTGTATTGTTATACACTGAAAGGTTGAATTTAAAAATAGCACTGAGTAGTCCATAGTGAGGTAAACTTTCATGACGGGAAGATTCAAAGCAATGTTATCTTCAATTTTAGGGCTATGAATACATTTTTAGGGATGTCAATATTTGTCATAAAAACTTATAAAAATAAAGTGTACCTTTTTTATTTTTTTGGTACCGGGCATCGAACTCAGCACCTTGAGCTTGCAAGGCAGATGCGGCACCACTGAGCTAAATCCCTGGCCCAAAATAAAGTGTACTTTCTTCTTAAATAATTAATAATCTGGTGACAGCTGAACACTGTTAGTTTATACTGATTTTTCTCTGCTCACATGTTTTTCTCTGTATAGCAGAAGCAGATAACGTGGGCATGAACGTCCCCCAGAAAGGCTGTAAAGTGGATTGTAATGTGAGCTCTTGGAGACATTTTCTTACATGTCCTTTTTTCTTTGGAGCTCCACACACCTGGTGTATCATTTGAGCTCCAGGGCAGGGGTCAGGGACTCGTAAATGCATGAAGTCTAATGAATGTAGAATTGTTAGGTTTTATGTCTGTGTGAAAGATTCATGTTTGTTTTTAAACTAAATTCTTTATTCAACTTCTTTTGATTCCACAAAAGTAGGAAACACATTATTTAGAAGGGAAATATTTTGAGGCCAATTGTACAACAGGTGCCGCATTATATTGCAAATGAATGCAAGATGGCATTACTAATTTACTTCTATTTTTGCAACTCAGGGAGACACCAGGATTAAAGGAGCTTTACCTTATCTGGGTGCTGTACCAATGCAATTTTATATGAAATATAGTAGAAAAAACAAGAATATACAAGTCTGAGGTAGATGATAGAATTTAATACAGCTAGACTTTACTGTTTGTTACTGTG